CAGATCAGAGGAGTTAGGGGCAATCAGGCAGTCAGGCAGGGGCAGTTAAGGTGATCAGGCAGGCAGGCAAGTGGTTAGGGGTGATCAGACTGGCAGGCAATCAGTTGGGTGATAAGGCAGTCAGGCAGAGTTAGTTGGTTAGGGGTGATCAGGCTGGCAGGCAGATTGGTTAGGGGTGATCAGGCAGGCAATTGGTTAGGAGGCAGCAGTCCTGTTTTGCTAGAGGGATGTCCCAGATTGTGAGAGAGTACAAGCTGGGCTGAGAGGACCTTCCCCACCCCACATGCATGAATTTTGTGCACCGGGCCTGTAGTTGTTACTATAATACTGGCTTTTACAATTGCCCATGTGTGTATCTTTATCATGTTCTTTATTTCTTTCTACTGTTTCAAGTTCCTGTCATTTCAATCTGAAGGAAACCCTTGAGCATTTCTTGAAGGGTAGGCCTAGTCCTAATGAACTTCCTTTTGTTTATCTGGAGTGTCTTAATTTCTCTGATATTTTTGAAAGACAGTTTTGCTAGATATAGGATTATTTTTAATAGTTTTTTTTAGCACTTTAAATATATTGATTCACTGTCTTAGGACCTCCAAATTTTCTGATAAAAAAATTATCCTGGTATGTGATGAGTCACTTTTCTCTAGTTGCTTTCAATATTCTCTTTTTGTCTCTCCATTGAGTTTGATTATAATGTTTGGTGTAAGTCTCTTTGAAGTCATCATATATAGAATTCATTGAGCTTCTTAAATATTTATATTTATGTCTCTCATCAAACCTGTGAAAATTTCAGCCATTATTTCTTCAAATAGTCTTTTTGACCCTTTCTTGCTTCTCCTCCTGGGATTCCAACAACAAGGTATATGTTAGTTTACTTGATAATATTCTACAGGCCTATTTGAAACCTGACACAATGGCTCTGAGGCCACTTGTCACTACTTGAGCCAATTTAAGCAAATACAGGGTTGAATCATATGAGCACTTAATCCAATAATGTTGGCAATGTGGGGAGAGCAGTCATTCACCCTAGTAAATCTGCTCTGACCTCCTATCGAGGTACTTTATCTATTTACAGCCTTATTTCATCTTCCTGTTCCACAGAGTCTGTAAAAAAAATTCTTATTTTAATTAGTAAGGTGAATAATAAACAACAATGGTTCTGTCTTATCTTGTGGCCTTTCCCACTATCAGATTGGACACTGTTGACTTCTGTTCAATCTTTCTTTCTTCCTTTCTTTCTTTCTTTCTTTCTTTCTTTCTTTCTTTCTTTCTTTCTTTCTATTGCTCAGACACAATAATTGCCATTGCCCTATCTTTAAGGTCATTTATTTTATTTATTTGTTTTTTTTACCTGCTTAAATCTATCTTTGAACTTCTCTGGTTAATTTTTTATTTCAATTATTATACTTTTCAATTCCAGAATTGCTTTATAATTTCTTTGTACGTTTTCTTTCTATTGATATTTCCATTGTTTTCACATATCATTTTCTTGACTTTCTCTACATTTCCTTTAGTTCTCTGAGTAACTTTAAAACAGTTGGTTTAAAGTATTTCTCTAGTAGGTCATTTTTCAGATATTTTTTAGGAGCCGTTTCTATTAATTTATTTGTTCCTTGAATGGGCAGTACTTTTCTTTCCTTGTGCTTCTTGTATTTTTCATTGTTATTGAAGATTGCACATTTGAACCTGATAATGTGATAACACTAAAAAAATCAGAGTCTCTAATTTCCCCAGGTTTTGCTGTTTAATGTCACTTTTGTTTATTTATTTTTTATTGCAAACCTAAGCTTTACAGATGTAAATTTAAGGAATTCTCTAATATTCTCAAGTATTTTATGGCCTTTTTCTAGGCCATGGCCGGCAAACTGTTGTTCCTTGTGATTAAGCCCCTATCCCAGTGGTCAGTTTGCTGCTCTATTGACTAATGAGTTTGCCGACCACTGGGATAGGGGCTTAATCACAAGGAACAACAACAGCCTATAATAATTGGAATCAATACTCAGTGACTTTCTTATCCACCCATCCCTCATATACTGTTGCTTTTGAATGTCCTAGTCTTTAATGCCTGACTTCCAAAGGGGGGGAAATGAGAAAAAAATAAAAGGGGGGAAAAGATTCTGGAATAAATATCTTGGAATTTATTTTAGTTTAGCAGTAGGGACTTGCACCAAGAGGTGCAACAACAATGGCTTCCTGCACTTCTGTGAGCAGAAGCAGCAAGCACTCACCTTGGTGTAAGTTCTCTGCTACGTGGAAGGCAGGGTCCTTTTTCCAGGGCCTCTTACCCACAAGCCTGGTGCAAGCTGCTTCTGGAACATGTGTACAGTTTCCTGCCTAGTGGCTGAGGGATGGGGGCTGGCTACTGTCTCAGAACTGTAATTGACAGAAATTAATTGCAATTTACTGTCCAATCTTTCCTCAGGAAGTTTCAAGACTTTAATAGACTTCAGAGTTCCAAAACAGCTGCATCAGTCTGATTCTACCAATGTAATTGTTGTCTAAGTAAAGAGAAGAATCCCTGATCCTTCCTGCACTGCCATCTTTCTAGAATCCTTTAATACTATTGTGATTTTCATAGATTAGGCTAGTTCTCCATCCTAGGGTTTGTTATACCCTTTTACCAACACCAGAAATGTCTAAAAGTTCACATTTTCTCAAAGACTCACCAATAGAATGTAGTATCCAGCATGGAACATTGCTAATCTAACAGCAAAAATGGAATTTCAGCGTGGTTTTAATTTCATGTATATATATATATATATATATATATATATATATATATATATATATGAACATCTTGATTTATGGTCAAGAGTCATTTGGCTTAATCTATCTGCTCATTGTCTATCTCAAGTCTGTTTTATGTATTATTAATATTTTTCTTTACTAATTTGTGAATCTTAATAAGTTAGGGATATAAACCTTTGCCTCTGATGTAAATTACAATAATTTCCCCTACTTGGTCACCTGTGGCTTTATTTTGTTTATTTTGTCTTACCATGTAATTTGGTAATGTTATCAAAATTATCTCTTCACTTACTGCTTTTCTATTTTGAGTCATACTTAGAAAAGATAAGCCCACTCTTACTTGAGAATAGACTTCATGTTTTTATCTATTACTAGCACTTGTATTGTTTCATTGTTCATTATGCATGAATACCTTCTCCACCAAGAGTTTACTCTAGTATTGTGTATGAAGAATGGATGTGATTTTTGTCATTTTCTGTATGGCTCTCCGATTAGATGAAAGTACTCATTAAATGTTTTCTACTGTTTAAAGTGACTCTATTATCATATGCTAAATTTTCATGTGCAATTTTTACTGATTCTAAATTTTCAAGTCTATTTTACTGGCATATTTTTTTTTTCTTCTGTTTTGGTTTGTCTCAGAATTTCTTATCTCAGAGTTAAAACAAAGTAGAATTTCTCTTCTTATCTCAGAGTTGAAGCCAAGGACTAGTAGCAATTAACTCATTTCTGCATATGTTCGGATTCTGGCAAACTGGATTGAATGCAAGTTCTATATTACATTGTCTCTTTGACTTTGGACAAGTTATTTAATATCTCTAAACTCCCTAGTCCTACCCTGTAAATGAAAAGGATTCACAAAGTTATTAGTGATTACTTATATAAAGCATATAGCACAGAGTAGGCTTTAATAATTGGAAGCTATGTTATTTTATTCTTATTATTGTTTGGCCAAATTCATATACTCTCCAGTTATATGATTTAATGTTTACTTTTTTCTTCAAGTTGGGAAAAATCCTATCCTATATAATAGAGGTAATATGCAAATTGACCATCATTCCAACACACAAGATGGCCATCCCCATGTGGTCAAAGATGGCTGCCACAAGATGGCCAGCAAGGAAGGGCAGTTGGGGACAATTGAGCTGGCAAGGGAGCAGTTAGGCATTGAACAGGCTGGCAGGGAAGTGGTTAGGCAATGATCAGGCTGGCAGGCAGAAGCAGTTAGGGCAATCAGTCAGGCAAGTAGGCAACTGGTTGGGAGCCAGCAGTCCTGAATTGTGAAAGGGATCCCAGATTGGAGAGGGTGCAGGCTTGGCTGAGGGACACCCCCCTGCACAAATTTCATGCACCAGGCCTCTAGTATTATAATCATGTTGCAGTATACAAAGGTAGATGATACAATTGAAGGACATTTCTGTAAAAAGAAATGAATTTCAACTCATTAACATATCTGCATTGAAGAAATATCTTTAGACATTAAAGGTATAATGAAAATATGTCATGTAGTATTTAAAGTATTTTTTAAATATATTTTTATTGATTTCAAAGAGGAAGGGAGAGGAAGAGAGAAATAGAAACATCAAATGAGGAGAGAGAGTCATTAATTGGCTGCTTCCTGCATGCCTTTCCCAACTAGGGATCCAACCCCCTTCCCCACCTTTGCATGTGTCCTGACATGGATTCTGTGACCTCCTGGTTCACAGGTTGACAATCACTGAGCCATGCTGGCTGAACTAAAATATTTTGTATATAATTGATGTAGTTAGTTTGATTCTTATCTTTAAAAATATTTGGCCCACTGGAACATAATATGCTGATTTTAATTTCCAAGCATCTTGATATTTGGTACAAATTACCAGTCATTGTTTGTTATAAGATATGTTGAAAGACCATGCAATCTATAATTAAGATTTATGCACCATTAAAATACAATTTTAGAATTCAAAATTTGCTCTCTCTATACACTTAATGTCTCTTTTTATGGGATGAAGTTTCAAATAATTAAAGAGCCCTCTTAATAAAGGGTATTTCGAAAATCAGCCAAACATAACATATTTTTCATCCTCTTGCTCATAAACTAATTAATTATATATCACATTTGCATCTGCTTTCCCTAGACTGCATAATTTTGAAACTTAATTTACTAATGAAATCATGATTTTGTTCCTCCATTAATGAAGGGAAATAGATATAGCAGATAAACATATTACTTATTGTTCTCAATTATGTGCTGAAACCTCACTGTCTTTCAGGGACTCCTGAGGATTACCCACGGTTTTTCCATATGCATCCCAGGACTGCAGAGCTTACCCTCTTGGAGCCAGTAAACAGAGACTTTCACCAGAAATTTGATTTGGTTATTAAGGTAAATTAATTTCTTATTTCCTTGTGTTTATAAATTGCTAATAGAAAAAACCTGTAGAGGCTACTGCAGACACTTTAATGTTATAAAAGTTCAAATGAATTTGGACAGCAGTTCACCAATGTTTTATTTAAACAGCAAAGTGCAGCAGTTTTAATCCATTGTTGCTTTTCCTTAAGATAACTTTTTATATTACAATGCGTTTAAATACTGAATATTTTTATATGGAATAAATGCTCTGGTCAAATGTATATGAGTCTACATGCTGCCCTTTATTACATCTTTAACTTTTTTACTTAAAGGAGTTAATTTTTATTTGTGAAACTTAACTAATGAATATATTTTAAATGTGCATGGATTAATATTTTATTTTATTAAAATATTATTTTAAATATATATTCTTATTGATTTCAGAGAGGAAGGAAAAAGGAGAGAAAAATAGAAATATCAATGATGTCTAGAAATTATTTTAATGTATATCACTATTTAAAATTCTGATAGATGATCCTAGACTGTAAAATTTTTCAAGTGAGGGATATCAATTTGGAATTATAATTTTGGCATAATAATATTTCATTTTTCATGATAAAATCATTTGAAAGGTACTGTTAACAGGCAGATGATCTATCAATTAATTCTGATAGGTTTCATTTAGAATGTAACATTTGAGTGGGTCAGTGAAGATTCGGGCTGGGAGAAGGCCATTCTAAGTAATAAAACAGACATAAGAAATGAAATGAGTAAGTCTACTGTGTGTTATATAGCTTTTCCTTATCTACACATAAAAAACATGACAGATATGCAGCCGTATGGACTTTTTAAATTTTAAATTGGTAAAGGAGAAGGAAGTACTATAAGGAAGCTTACTGAGTATGTACATGGGACAAAGTGTTTTATGTATGTTTTTTCATTGAATTGTGGTCATATCCTTAACAGTATATTAATCAGTGCACATGTGGAAACTAAAGGTCAGAGAGGGTAAGTGTTTGGCTCAGAGTACATCATTAAGAAACAGCAGAATTTATGCCAAAACCAGTTTGGCTCAGTGGTAGAGCGTCAGTCTGCAGACTGAAGGGTCCCCGGTTCTATTCCAGTCAAGAGCATGTACATTGTTTGCGGGCACATCCCTAGTGGGGGGTGTGCAAAAGGCAGCTGGTCGATGTTTCTCTCTCATCAATGTTTCTAGCTCTCTAGCTCTCTCCCTTTCTCTCTGTAAAAAATCAATAAAATATATTATAAAAAAAAAAAGAAGCAGCAGAATTTAGATTCAAATTTAGGTTTATCTAAGTGAACACTGTACTTTTTTTTACTTCACCAAGACGCAGTTGCTAAGAAATAATTGCCTGGCTTAACTACCTGTCAGTGAAACAACAACAATTATATTTAGACACGCATTTCATTTAATACCTAATTTGAACATATTTTGTTAGGACCTTATTATCTTTTACATACCAGATCTTTTGCTTACTCTGTGGTCCTTTGTCCTTAAAAAAATATAGTCTAGAAAGAAAAGCATAACAGAATCCAATAAATCAAATATAGCAAACATATAAACTGCTAACAGAAAGATACATAAGGGCTGATGAAGCAGAGAATAAGTACATTTAAATGAATCTGAAGACGGACTTGGGAAAGATTTTTCTGGAAATTACCCCAAGCTAAATTTTGCTGTGTTTGGCCAATGAATAGAAGGTAGGAAATATGTTTGAACATAAGGAAGAGTAGAAGTAAAAGCTTGGAGGCATAATGTAGCTGGCTACAAGCAGTTAACAGGGAAATGAGGTATAGAGCCAGACCACAGGGAAAGCCTTCTGTGCCATTGCAATTTCCTTGGATTTAATTCAATAGGGGTTTAGGAGTCATTTAACAAAAAAAGAATCATTTTACCTCTGATGTATAATGGTCATGCATGAGATAGTTCATCTTTTTGTATTGACCACATTTTTTTAAATCACAGGACTGTAGAAAACTAAAAAATGTGTATCCATTATCTACTGTCTATCTGCCTGTAGCCCTCCCTGTGCTGCAGCTTTCTACGAGAATTAGGAAACTAGACAAAGCACTGTTTCCAAACTCCCTCATTTAAAACCTGAAATCCATTATTTTCCTTTATTATCAAAGGCGGGTACCCAAGTGTATTGGCTATAGTAAAGCCTATCAATTATTAGAAATAAAAACCAATTAGAATAAAATGCAGGTATTTTTATAAATAATACTTTATGTTTTTAATGGAAGTTCTTCCAGACACTATTATGTTAAATTTATTGTTTTTGTGTGTGTGTATTTAAGAGGATACTGAGCAAAGGTCTCAATCTATAAGAATCATAATGTGGCACCTGGGTGAATAATAGCTTTACACTGTGGTTTTGTGTAGGGATCCATTGACTTGCTACAATCTGGGAGTTCTCTTCCTCAATAAGACTGTTACCTTCTTCCCTTGTCCTTATTTCCATAATGTTTCCTTTTTCACTGGCCATCAACGTTTTTATTGGGTTTGATCCCAATTTCTATATTGGAAGCTAAGGTAAAATAAGGTAAAATGAAATATCTTTTAGACTTTGAAGAAGAATTCTTCTTTGAAAAGCTCTATGTTCATTTAACCCCTGGTGAATGTCATGAATTAAAGATTTATCATCTTCATTTTATCTTTCTTCAAGTGATTTATTCAGTATTCTGACAAATAAAGTGTAAAGGTGAACCTAAACGAACAAAAGGGAGTAGTTCTCCAACTCTAGATTATTAAAGGATTAACACGTGTCAGTTAAAAGAGGAAAAAATGTTCCAGATCAAATCTATTCCAAAATTTAAATAATAATAATCACTTAATCATACTTTTAAATTAAATACATATTTTAAATAAGAATTTTACATCTGATTTGCCCAGTACAGTTCAAATGTATTCCTTTTGTTCTTGTAGAATTATTCAGAATACCTCTTTTACTCTCAAAAAATGCCCCAGTTTGAATGAAATGTTATGTGATCATTATATTTATAAAACAAAACAAAAATATATATGATATAAAAGTATGAAGTCCCATTTTAGACTCTAGTTGATAATCAATTAGTTTGTGCATGAAGTATAGATAACAAAGCCCAGAAAATTCACCTCCATTATCATAATTACATCATTTCTTTAAAGAATGTTATTAGTCAATACTCGGGCATCTAATACAAAGATTAAATAGATAAATTATTAATAATTCACTGCTGTTCTGTTCACACATAATTGTGTTTTTAATCTACATCACTCTAATAAATAACCGTAAGGGTCACAATGATATTAAAATCATCATTGTATCATGGTCTCTCTGATTTGTCTGGTGTGACTCATTGGCCTACTCCGTCAGGCTAACCTTAAGCTTCTTTTCCTTCCACTTCATGGGCATGTTAAGCATAAGCTATCAAACGAGACCACTTGCAGTGCCCAAAACCCACCATGCTCTTTCTAAGCCCCTGGTTTTTACAGATGGTGTCCCTCTTCCTGAATCAGTCCTTCCTTTCTCCAAAGTCTCATTCACACTGATGCTTCATTGAGGCTTTAGATGCTGAGAGGACATTTCTGGGATGGCATGGCCACTGGTGGGAAGCCCCTCCTTGCATTCTGCATGTCCCTATGATGGCTCTGAGCTTGAATTAGCCTGATATTTTCTTCTGACTTTTATAAGAGGGAGGATTGTAATATTTTTATTTACATTGTGGCTCACATTCCTACCTGTATGTATAGACAGTATATGCTGTAATGGTTTCCTCTCTGGGACAGGAAATCTTTTAAATTTCACCTGTGTCTCTAGTCCCAATAAATATGCATTTAACTTCACAGATTCAAACTCTGGAAAAAGTGCCCAACCTTTATTAAAGCACAGCTTAAAGCCATGTATGAGTGTATGTTAATAGAATATCCTTTCTTCTAAAGAAAAGATATATTTTTGGCACACAAAATGAGCCACAGAATTGAGCTTATAAGTTAGTGCTGATGTGCAGGTTTTTCTGACATGTTATTTGGCTTTAGTAATTTGGGAGTCAAAGGACAGCAGCATCAGAGAATGATTGAGGCCTAAGAGAACAGCTACTGCAACCCCTGACCACATACGTGAATCTCCAGTGCCACTGGAAAGCATTTAGCTTCTATTTGAATAATGATCTCAATTATACTTTACCTCACAAAGACACAATGGGGAAAAATTTTAAGGAAGGCACTTGGCATTTGCTAGTTTCAGTTTGCCAAATCCTTTCTGATTGCTTATTAGGTGCCTGACATTTTGCTTGGTGTTGAGGAGACATAAATGTATGAAAGCTCTATTCTCGAGGAAATCACAAATATGGAAATTATGCTTTCAGGCCTACTTCCCTTTTGAATCCTGCATTCCTATTTCCTATTACTGGCTGTATAACTCTTCTTAGTGTTACATGATTGTGTCAAATTAAGAATGTAGTAAATTACATACATCCTTTTAAAACCTTAAGCTTCTTTCTTTCCATTAATAATATTATAATCAGCCACTCACCCAAGCTTAGAGCTTTCAGTGCCTCTTATGTATTTGTCCCCATCCAGTCAATTTTCAAATCCTGTCTGGATGCCTCTGGAATTCATTCTCAAATGTCTTCCCAACTCACAGCAGTTCTCTAATTCTCATCCTCATGGCCACCATCTCACAAACATAAGTCCACTTTCCTTGCACCCTAACCATATTGCTTACTGAGTATTGCTAAAACAAACAAAAACAGATCATGCTGCTGCATATTGTCTTCAAGTCTCTTTACAATTTGCCCCCTAGGTGAATTTCCAACAGCGCACTTGATCAATTAACTGACCACATGTGTCAGGGACAGACAGACAGAGTGACAGGTCACAGATCATCGGTCATCTTTTCTAAAATAAAAAGGATGGCCTCTCCCATGAAAATGAAAGTCCTATCAATGCTCATTGACTCTGTTAATATTGTGAAGTGTAAGTTATGATTCTTTCTGCTGTAGTGTATTGACAGTGCATCAAGAATGAAAGA